TTAATATACTAAAATAGAACACTTTTTATAGACACATATTAAAAATAACAGCCAAATGCTATATATGTATATACAATATACATCTAGACTGAAAAAATTCTAGTCAACTTCCTGAAATAACTGTATATGACATCATACAGACAGAAATTTGAATGAAAGACAAAAATGAGTTTTACGTCCAATTTCCTCTACTCTTGTCTTAGGCTAATGCAGTAATAATATGCCAATGTGCATAGCATGTCTTTTCTAGGTCAGCAGCTCGGACCTGCGTGTATGTCAAAGTCAGATGGAAATCAGGATGGAACGTCCAAAGGTATAATCGGTACCCATGCCGGGATTAGACTCGGATTTACTCCCTGAAAAGCACTAGGGACCTACGGTTAAAAAGGAGACCTGGCTGGAAAACCCAATTCATAACCCTGACCTGTGGCAAATTCAAACTCAAGCCTCAAACTCACTAAACCAGTGGAACTTCCATGTAAAACCAGAGTGGTGCCATGAAAAACATGTAACTTATACAAAATTGCATGTTTAGCTCTCTATGAAAGAAGATGAGATAAGACGTTATATCGACAGTTGATAACAAGAGTATTAATTGGAAGCCAACCAAGAAATCGGTGTGTTCGAACCGGGAATTATCGCCTACAGATTAATGTTACATGAGTTTCCCCTCATTAACTTGGTATTTATCAAGCTGTATCGATAGATTATTCTGTATTTCGGAATATCTGAGACTAGCTGAGATTAATTATTAAAGTGAACACAAGTCCACAGATAAGATCAAGTTTAAGCGAAAAACACAAGCCGAAAACAAAAACACAAGCAGAACAAGTCCATACCATAAGATAAGGTATTTGCGAAAACACAGGGTTAAAAAATATAAGGATATTTGACTTTTTTTGCATTCCTGTCTGGAAGAAGCGTCAAGTCGTTAAGGATACCATGTGTGCTACAAGCTGGGCATGTCAGAAGGGCCCCTTCGGTCCACTGTCCTGGAAAAAGTGCCACATACCATGTATTTGCTAAATCTGTCGAACTTAGGTGAAGAAAAATAGGACCTTTCCTTTCAGTTTGCTATGATCACTCACACACACCTCCCAAGGGTATAACTTCGGCACCCACTGCCTACCTTGTTTCACCAGTAGGAGCTTATCTTCTGGCGTGTTTTAACAAACCTGTTATGTCAAATCTTATCTTAAACTATCGGTGATTAATTCCGAATTTTGCCATTATTTTGTCTGGGTCGACCAAACTCACCTAAAAAATCCGTTACCGCGTCCTTCAAAATAAATGTAAAATAAATATACCCGATAAACAATATTAACTATGTGAACTCTCTCTAACAGCTACCGAGTCGACAAACACAATCGCATATTAAAATCCCAAAACGTTCATTTGGTATAGACCCTTTAGATTATTTCATAAGTTATATTTGAAAATGTTTCTAAATTAAAACTTCATCGGTCGGTGACACAAGTCAAAACATTATAGCAAATCGTTCAGTTGTCAATCAAACTTTTCAAAATAAAGTGTCAACCCTCGTGTCAACCTGCTTGCTACCAAGAGTGGCGTAATGTCAAACATATTCCTTAGTCAAAATATATCTGAGAAATTGAAAAGGTTAACAACATTATTCAGATGAGAAAAAAAAGGGGGGGGGGGGGTGGGGGGGCTACCACTAACCGCTCGTAAATACACCTCTTACCGTATACCTAAGCTGTATTGCAAGGTTTAAAATTCAATTATATTGCCAACAAAACAACTCGTGTTAGCAACCCCCCTTGTCCCTCTCTCTCTCTGATGCTTCCTATACCCCCAGTATTGTAAGGTTTAAAATTCCATTAACATAAAACTGTCAACAACCAACTTTCAACCTCTCCCTGTCCCCTCTAAAACCGCCCAAGTACCCCAAGCAGAATTACCAAGCTTAAAATTCCATTAATTTGGTTCGAATCGACAAAACCGTCATCACCACCGAACCAATAATGTCATTGAATTAGGCCCCGATAACAAACACAATTACTTGTGTATAGACAATTTTCTTGGATTCTTATTGAGAAACTTAATGGAAATCAATACAAGATTTGT